AGGTTTTCTCTGTCACCCAGGCTGGAGGGCTGTGGCACTATCATAGCTCACTGCAGCCTGGACCTCCTGCCTCAGCCTTCCGGGTGGCTGGGGCTAGAGGTGGCAGCCATCACAGCCACCACATGTGGGTAATTTGTTTTAGGGGTCTCAATATTTTGAGCAGGTTGATCTGGAAGTCTTGGGCTCAAGAGATCCTCCCACTTCAGCCTCCTCAGTAGCTGGGATTATAGGCGTGCCCCGCCATGCCCAGCGTTCAACCCTTAAATTTCTTTCACGACATTTGATACATTTTATTTTATTGTAATTAATTAATTCATTTAAGACATTCTCACTCATTCTGTCACCCAGGCTGGAGTGCAGTGGTGCCATCTTGGCTCCGGCAGCCTCCACCTCCAGGGTTCAAGCGATTCTCCTGTCTCAGTCTCCCATAGCTGTGATTACAGGCTTGCACCACCAGGCCTGGCTCATTTTTGTATTTTTAGTAGAGACCACGTTGGCCAGGCTGGTCTCGAACTCCTGACCTCAAGCAATCTGCCTTGCTTTAGCCTCCTGAAGTGCTGGGATTACAGGCATAAGCCACCATGCCTGGCCTGATACATTTTTAAAATATCTTGTTCATTTCTTTTTTGTATTTTCTCCTCCCAAATCCAGAACGTCTTGTTTACTGCTACCTCCTGAAGCAGATTAAGAATACTCACAATAATTTACAAAGTTTCAACTACAATAATTTTTAAACAGGCTGGAGTACAGTGGCAAGATCTCGGGTGATACATTCATATTAAAAAGTACACAAAGGGCTGGGCGCGGTGGCTCATGTCTGTAATCCCAGCACTTTGGGAGGCTGAGGCATGCGGATCACAAGGTCAGGAGATTGAGATCACCCTGGCGAACACGGTGAAACCCCGTCTCTACTAAAAATACAGAAAAATTAGCCGGGGGTGGTGGTGGGCGCCTGTAGTCCCAGCTTCTCGGGAGGCTGAGGCAGGAGAATGGCGTGAACCCGGGAGGCGACGGAGCTTGCAGTGAGCGGAGATCGCGCCACTGCACTCCAGCCTGGGAGACAGAGCGAGACTCCTCCATCTCAAAAAAAAAAAAAAAAAAAAGGTACACAAGGAGGTTGGGCGTGGTGGCTCACGTCTGTAATCCCAGCAGTTTAGGAGGCCAAATCGGGTGGATCGCTTGAGCCCAGGAGTTCAAGATCAGCTTGGGCAACATGATGAACCCCATCTCCAGTAAATATACACACACACACACACACACACACACACACAAATTAGCCGTTTCTGGTGGCGCGCGCCTGTGGTCCCAGCAACTCGGGAGGCTGAGACGGGAGAATCGCCTGAGCCCGAGAGGTGGAGGCTGCAGTGAGCCAAGATCGCGCTACTGTACCACTCCTGCCTAGGGGACAGAGCAAGATCCTGTCTCAAAGGAAAAAAACAAAAAAGTACACAAGAGCGTACGGTAAATAGTCTTCCTACCACGATGTGTTTTCCAGAAACCCATTCCTCTCCTGGGAGGTAACTATTATCAGTTTCTTCACACCAGCATTTAATCTATGTCTACTCAATTTAGAATTTCTAAACCCTTCATGACCTTCTAAAAACAAAATCGGCCAGCGATTTTAATACTTCCAGTAAAGGTTTGAGCTGAGAAGTCGACTTTCTTCTTTTCCTCTTTTCAACTACTCCTAAGGACTTCTGGAGAAGAAAGAGCAAATATCTCTGCATCTCAATTTCTGGTCCGCAGGTAACCCAGTCTCAGTAGCTTGGTAGTTACCATGGCTCCCAGTGCTGTGCGTCTGACGTCATTCTGCGGCGCTGGCTGATGGCGCAATCAGTTCCGGCGCCCTGTGAGGGCGGGGGAGCTGGGAGGAGGGTGAAATTTAGCCATCAGTGTGTGGCAGGGTCATGAAAAAGCGGCGGCGGCGGGAGAGAGGAGGCGGCGGCGGCGGCGGAGTGAAACTGCGGTAGCTGCCCCCTGGGCTGGTAGTGTGGCTTTGTGGGGAGGGCGTAGTTCCTAATCCCCTTTTCGGGCAGCCGCCGGGGCTCGGGGCTGTGAGCGGCCGTCAAGGCTGCCTCCCCGGGCCCCCTGCCTCCGCCATGTTCCGCAGGGCACGCCTTAGTGTGAAGCCGAATGTCAGGCCTAGTGTAGGCGCCAGGGGCTCCACAGCTCCCAATCCCCAGCGTGGACAGGAGTCTCCCAGGCCGCCGGAGCCTGCCACGGACACTGCTTCCAAGCCAGCGGAGCCCACAGATGTACCCGCAGTCGATTTCGGTGGAGCGGAGCCCCAAGAAAAGGCTCCTAGGAGCAGGTAAGAGCTTGCAGAGGGAAGAATTTTCATTTGCCCCGCCTCTCCGGCCTGTCACCTGGAAGCTGAGCAAATGAATTTTATCATAGGAGTCCGCTGTCGTTTGCAGTAAGCCTTTCAGTTGAGGCTTGATGAAACCACTCCAAACTGCAGTTTGGTTGTCTGACCTGCAGGGTGTGGCTTATGTGGATTTTGTCACGGGCTGTAGATTCTCCGAGAGGAGACCGTGTCTTCCAAGTGGTGGTGGGAAGAATCGGGGTATGGCAGTCCTGAAGTGAAGAATAGCCACACTATTCATTTGAGAGTTTAGGTCACCATAGTTTTCATCCTTCTGGAGTGCTTTGCAGGGAAGTGTTTTTGTCTTTCAAAATATAAAGTATTTATTTTTTAAAGGAGAAGATAATTACTATGTTGGCCAGGCTGTACTCAAACTCCTGACCTCAAGTGATCCACTTGCCTCAGCCAAAAGTGCTAGGGTTACAGGCGTGAGCCACCGTACCCGGTCTCTTTTTATAAATTTTTTGTGGGTCTTTGCTAGTTGTAAAAATCTATAGGATATATATTCTGTCATTATGCACTCAACATTATTGAGTGAAATGCAGATAATGCATGTATCACATTGTTATAACAGCTAAGATACGAATTTAAATTGAAGTCTTCCTGGAAAGGTTATTCTGTAAGTTAAGGCATTTTCTAATTTTTTATAAGTAATTGTAAAATATGAAAAAAGTAGACTTTTTAATTATTGACTTATACTACCTCTTTTCTTGACTTAAGTTGCATTTATAGACCATTCCTGAAATATTTATATCTGAGGTGTACCATATCTAATATGCAATTTGAGGTGACTCAGTACTTTTTTTGACTGAAGAGTTTATTCTGATGGCTGTATAAGTAGCGTTGTACCTGACAAAAGATAAATGATTTCTGCCTCAAAGGGAACTGGGTTTGGCTACTGTAACTAAATGTTTTTCTTCAAACACTGCAATATAGGTATTTCAGAGGTTTGAAGTTTTGCATATTTGATTTGACCTCTGGTTGATAAGTAAAATGCCGGTAATTTAGACCAGTTTAAAATGTCAGAGTGAATTAAATTTTTTTTATTTTTATATATAAATTAATTTAATTATAAATTATTACTTTTTTACTTAGTAATTCAAATTAGGTTGATTAAGCTTTGTTCTGTAACTTGGTTATTTGTTTTGAGGGAACTAAGCCTATAATTATGTGTTCTAATGTGCCTAGGGACTTTATGTTTGGAAAAGATTAAGAGTCTATTAGAATTTATATATATTTAAAAGATTTACTAAAGAAATTTTTTTGTAACCTGTCATAATTATCATACATCTCAAGTTATTAATTTTTTTTTAATTACGAGATTGCGGTTTTGGATTTTCACCAGACTAAGTTTTAAAACTAGCATGTATAACAGAAGATTCATGGTGCCCTCTTTTTTTCTTTTTTAATTTCAACAGTTCTGAAAAGACTGGTAGTGACAATGATGTTGAAGAATCCAGTAGATCTTCCCCTACTGTTTCACAGAGAAGAAAGCGAATATCAAGTACTTCTAGTCTGGTTAAGGCTAGTGTCAGTGTTCCTTCAGAATCTCATCCCTTATCTACAGTTAATCAAGAGGCTGCACAGCCAACTGCCACTTCAACAAAAGAGAAACAGCCGTGCTCAGACAGATACCGAATATACAAAGCCCAGAAACTGAGGGAAATGTTAAAAGAAGAATTGAGAAAAGAGAAGGTAAGGGAGGAGAATCAGGATTTTGGTGTTGCCTTCTGTTTATGTTAGTAAGGAATCATTGGGAAGAAAAGCATTTGTAGCATTTTGATGGGGGAACAAAACCGCATAACATCCCTTAGTCAATAGAACATCCCTTCTTGTTAATGGATTGATTGATACACCATGGACTTAAATTACATTTTTCACTGATAGTAATTTTTACATTATTTATTTATGTTTTCACTGTTTTTAGTAAAGGTCACAAATAAGTTTCATACACATACACATAGATATACATACACAAACATATTTATAAAATAAACCTTCAGTCAGATTTTTCATATAAAGATATCCAAGTGACAAGTGATGTATTTATTTGAATTAAGGCAAGCATATGCTGGGCTTGGTGGCTCATGCCTGTAATTTCAGCACTTTGGGAGCACTAGGCGGGCAGATCACTTGAGGTCAGGAGTTCAAGACCAACCTGGCCAACATGGCAAAACCCTGTCTCTACTAAAAATACAAAAATTAGCTGGGCCTGGTGGCACACATCTGTAATCCTAACTACTGGGGAGGCTGAGGCATGAGAATTACTTGAACCTGGGAGGTGGAAGTTGCAGTGAGCCGAGATTGTGCCTCTGTACTCCAGCCTGGGTGATAGAGTGAAACGGTCTCCAAAAAAAAAAAAAAAGACAAATGTAGTTGAGCAGAATGAATTGGTAATGTTTTCTAAATTGACAATATGGAAAATTACAAGTGGGAAAAATTTGTGGTATGCATATAGTAGAGTCCATGTTCTTTTTAATCTTGAGGATTGATTTCTTTTCTAGAAGGGCAGGTAACAGCAGTAGAGTGTGCTGGCCCTGGAGTTACATACTTAAGGATTGAACCTCAGCTTCATTTCTTTACTAGCTATGTGACCTTGAGTAATTTAATTACTCTATTTCCTCATCTGTAAAATAAGACCAATAATAGTTCAGGTTGAGCATCCCTGAAATTGAAAATGCTCCAAAGTCCAAAATGTTTTGAGTGCCAAAGTGATGCTCCAAGGAAATGCTCATTGGAGCATATTGGATTTCAGATTTTCAGGTTAGAGATGCTTAGCCAGTATGTATTCTGCAAATATTCAAAAATGTGAAAAAATCCAAAATGTGTATCATTTCTGGTCTCAAGTATTTCAGATGAGAGATGCTCAACCTCTGTCTATCTCATTGGAGGGTTGTGAAGATTAAATGAGTCAATACGTGTAAAACACACTTAAAATGGGCCTGGTGGGGTGGCTTATGCCTGTAATCCCAGCACTTTGGGAGGCTATGGTGGGCTGATGACCTGAGGTCAGGAGTTCAAGACCAGCCTGGCCAACATGGTGAAACGCTGTCTCTACTAAAAATACAAAAACTATCTGGTCATGGTGGTGCACGCCTGTAATCTCAGCTACTCAGGAGGCTGAGACAGGAGAATCACTTGAACCCGGGAGGCAGAGGTTGCAGTGAGCCAAGATTGCGCCATTGCACTCCAGCATGAGTGACAGAGCGAGACTCTGTCTCAAAAAAAATCAAACAGAAAAACTGTGTCTTGAAAATAGTAAGTGCCCAACCAGTGTCAGCTCCTGTTATGAATTATAAAATGCCTCTTTTATTTAGTTTTTTTTAAATTAAGGGAAGGCATTTTGCTTGGTGCTTTATGTCTATTATGTTATGTAATTATATCAACTGTGTGAAGTAGATATCACTGTTTTACACAGGAGAAAACAAGCTTTGAATTTATGTCTTCTAAAATGTAAGCCTTATGAGAATTGCTTGAACCTGGGCAGCAGAGGTTGCAGTAAGCCAAAATTGTACTGCTGCACTCCAACCTGGGTGACAGAGCAAGGCTATGTCTCAAAAAAAAAAAAAAAAGAGTAAGCTTCTAAAAATGTTTTATGGGTTGGGAATTGGGGGTGGGGGATTAAAAAAAGTTCTATATTTTACAGAAACTGCTTACTTGCATATTTAATTTATTTTGGGGAATTAAAGATTAAACATTTGCTTCAAGAATTTTACAAAATACACTGAATTTCAGTTCACTACAGGGTAAAAAAAAAAGCTGTGTAAGCATAAATTCTCAGTGAGCTATTAAGATGTTTAGTTAGAAGGCATCAGTAAGCATTTTATACATTGAGCTTTATTAGTTTTATTCTTTTATTATTTATTTAGTTTTGAGACAAGCACACCCAGGATGGAGTGTGCTAGTATGATTACAGTTCACTGCAACTTCAACCTCCCAGGCTCAAGTGATCCTTCCACCTCAGCCTCCCAAGTAGCTGTGGCTATAGGCATATGCCACTACATCCAGCTAATTTTTTTGTATTTTTTTGTAGAGATAGGGTCTCATTATGTTGCCCAGGCTGGTAACTCCTGAGCTCAAGCGATCCTCCTGCCTCAGCCTCCCAAAGTGCTGGGATTATAGGCATAAGCCACTGTGCCTGGCCACATTGAGCTTTTATCTAGTCCTAGTCACTTTAGTTGTTAAAATCTAAATGCTGCCTGGGTGTGTGGTTCACTCCTGTAATCCCAGTGCTTTAGGAGGCTGAGGCAGGAGGATCCCTTGAGCCCAGGAATTTGAGACCAGCCTTGGCAACGGAGGGAGACTCCATCTCTACCAAAACAAAACAAAACAAAACAAAAAAACCCCCACAAAATTAGCCAGGTGTTGTGGCAAGCATCTGTAGTCCCAGCTACTTGGGAGGCTGAGGTGGGAGGATTGCTTGAGCTCAGGAGTTCAAGGCTACAGTGAGCTATGATTGCATCACTGCACTCTAGCCTGGACAACACAGCAAGACCCCATCTCAAAAGTAGATAAATAAAAACTAAAAACTATTAAGGGTAATGTGCTACAACTTTTTAAATATTCCATCTACAAAATTACATAACTGGGGTGAGAATAATATTAGAGCACTTATAGTGAATGCAACAGTGGACTGTATATTTGCATATAGTACGTCTGAAATTCTTTAATATTTATAAAAGTGGATCTGTGTGTGTTTATGTATACAGAAACAATGGAAAAACAAATTTGCTATAAATGAAAGTCAGAGGCCACCAGATCGTTCAAAAATGACTATGAGAGACTTCATATATTATCTACCAGATAACAATCCAATGACGTAAGTAAAATTTATTTCTGCTTTACTATCTCTTTTTTTTTTTTTTGAGGTAGAGTCTTGCTCCGTCACCCAGGCTGGAGTGCAGTGGTGCAATCTTGGCTCACTGCATCCTCTGCCTCGCAGGTTCAAGTGATTCTGCTGCCTCAGATTCCCGAGTAGCTGGGATTACAGATGCTCACCACCACATCTGGCTAATTTTTATATTTTTAGTAGAGACTGGGTTTCGCCATGTTGGCTTGCCTGGTTTCAAACTCCTTACCTCGGGTGATCCACCCACTTCGGCCTCCCAAAGTGCTGAGATTACAGGCGTGAGCCACCATGCCTGGCCTTCTGTTTTACTTTCTTTGGGTATGTAGTTATATAAATATCACTTTTATAGTACAATTTTTTGTTTTCCAAAAGCATGTTGACAAAATTTGGAACACATATGTCCTTTTAAATATAATTTCATAACCAAAAGTAGCTGTATTTCAAGTAATTGCTTTCTGGGGATGTTTAATTATGCCCTTTATTTCTGAGATTAAAATTAAATTTCCTCGCTGGGCGCAGTGGCTCATGCCTGTAATCCCAGCACTTTAGGAGACCAAGGCAGGTGGGCCGCTTTAGTCCTGGAGTTTGAGACCAGCCGGGGCAACATGGTGAAACCCTATCTCTGCAAAAAATACAAAAATTAGCCAGGCATGGTGGCATGTGCCTGTAGTTCCAGCTGTTTGGGAGGCTGAGGCAGGAGGACTGCTTGAGCCCTGGCATTTGAGGCTACAGTGAACAATGTTCATGTCACTGCATTCTGGGTGCAGTCTGGGTGATAGAGCGAGATCCTGTTTAAAAAAAAATTTTTTTTCTTTGTTATATTAATTACCAAGGTATAGTAAAACCAACTAAACCACTTTTCTGTAGTCAAGATTGCAATTTTGGCCGGGTGAGGTGGCTCACCCCTGTAATCACAGCATTTTGGGAGGCCAAGGCGAGAGGATCACTTGAGCCCAGGAGTTTGAGACCAGCCTGGACAACATAGTGAGACCCCATCTCTACAAAAAATACAAAAATTAGCTGGCCATTGTGGCGCATAGGAGGAGGCTGAGGTGGGAGGATCACTTGAACCTGGGAGTTCAAGGTGGCAGTGAGCCAAGATTGCACCACTGCACTCCAGCCTGGGAGACAGCGAGACTCTGTCTCATTTAAAAAAAAAAAAAGTTTGAAAGGATTGCAGTTTCTATTTTTAACATACTATAAACTGATCTAAAGGAGTGATCGAAGTTTTGTTCCCTGCCTTCTAATAAAGACAGTAGTAGTGTGATTAATAAATCCTCCAAGAACAAAGTTTCTTTATTAAAGTTAGCCTGGGGTTTCTGAGGCAGAAGGTTTATAATTCTTATTGTTGTATTGTTGATGGTTTAGCAGGTAGAGGTAGGAGTAGGGACAGTTCCTTAGCATAGTCCTTTTTCAGATTCACCAGGTCTTTGGCCCTGTTGAAGAAAGGGCCAGGAACCTAGGTTTTGAATTGTTTAACATCTAGAAGTTGAAGACAAGTCACCTAAGCGGCTTCATGCCTTGGGATTGGGAGCCTCCTTTCACTGGGGAGTTAGAGGATAAGAACATTCTCTGCTGGGCGTGGTGGCTCATGTCTGTAATCCCAGTGTTTTGGGAAGCTAAGGTGGGAGGATGGCATGATCCCTGGAGTTTGAGACCAGCCTGGGCGATATGGTGAAACCTCGTCTCTACAAAAAATTAAAAGACAAAAATTAGCCCTGTGTGGTGGCACGCACCTATAGTCCCAGCTACTTGGGAGGCTGAGGTGGGAGGATTGCTTGCGCTCAAGAAGTAGAGGTTACGTGGAGCTGAGATCACACCACTGCACTTCAGCCTGAGTGACACAGCAAGACCCTATTGTTGTATTTAAAAAAAAAAAAAAAAAAGAGTATTCTCTACTTAGGACCTAACAAATTATTTGTACGTGATGACAAGCTTTTGACTGAAAAATCGGTTGTCGGATTGCACCGTCATTAACAAAATGCTATGGCATATCTTTAAAAATTAGAAGTTAGAATAATTTTCTTCTGCCTACAGATAGAATTGAGAGGATATAGATTAATAATTTATTAAAGGTATTGTTATTTGTGTTCAATAGTTCTTCACTGGAACAAGAAAAGAAAACTGAAAAGTCATCGACTCCAGTCCAGACAAGAGAGTAAGTATTTTATTTTATTTTTGAATATATTCTGTTGCTACATTTTTTAAATGAGATCAAATGGTGCTTCCTGTTATAGTCGAATTACATTTGACTGGGGTCGGGCACAGTGGCTCACTCCTGTAATCTCAGCACTTTGCGGAACCAAGATGGGAGGATTGCCCAAAGCCAGGGGTTGAGACCAGCCTGGGCATCATAGTGACATTTTATCTCTACAAAAAATGTAAAAGTAAGCTGTGCTTGGTGGTGTGTACATGTAGTCCTGGTTATTCAGGAGGCTGAGGTGGGAGGATCACTCGAGCCCACACGTTCAAGGCTGTAGTGAGCTATGATCATGCCACTGCATTCCAGCCTGGGTGACAGAGCAAGACTTTGTCTCTTAAAAAAAAATTACGTTTGGTTAGACTTTCGTTTTGGTAATTTTAAAATTTTAATTTAATTTTTGAGACAGGGTATTGCTGTGTCACCCAGGCTGGAGTGCAGTGATGTGAACACAGCTCACTGCAGTCTTGACCTCCTGGGCTCAAGTGATCCTCCTGCCTCAGCCTCCTGAGTAGCCGGGAGTACAGGTGTGTGCCACCATGCTTGGCTAAATTTTTTTTTTTTTTTTTTTTTGAGATGGAGTCTCGCTCTGTCGCCAGGTTTGAGTGCAGTGGCGTGATCTTGGTTCACTGCAGCCTCTGCCTCCTGGGTTCAAGTGATTCTGCTGCCTCAGCCTCCCGAGCAGCTGGGACTACAGGTGTGCGCCACCATGCCCAGCTAATTTTTGTATTTTTAGTAGAGATGGGGTTTCACCATGTTGATCAGGATGGTCTCCATCTCTTGACCTCGTGATCCACCTGCCTTGGCCTCCCAAAGTGCTGGGATTACAGGCATGAGCCACCACGCCTGGCCCAAGAAGTCTTTACTCTCTTTTAAAATGAAGAGAAACAAGCAGGACATGGTAGTTCAGGCTTGTAATCCTAGCACTTTTGGAGGCCAAGGCAGGAAGATCACTTGAGGCCAGGAGTTGAGATAAAACTTGAGAAAATCCTCTAATTGTGTCCTTAACAACACACACTGTTTTCATTTGGATTATAGGAAAAGTTGGAAATAGCTAGAAGGTTGAGTTTGTAATCATTTATTTTAAGTTTTATACTATTCAGGGACTACTTTTATGCCTTTGTGAATTAACTTATCTTTATATCTGGTAGGCAAGAAGGTAAGAGTACTGCTAATGCTGAAGATAATGAAATGGAAGAAGAGACAGATGATGGGCCATTACTGGTTCCTCGAGTAAAAGTGGCAGAAGATGGCTCTATTATTTTGGATGAAGAAAGGTATTTAAAAAAGAGAGAAAGTGAGATTGTAGTTATATGAGAACAAACATGCTTTGTCTAGTGAAAGAGGTCCTCTTTCTATATCGGCCTTTGTCACTTAGACCTTGACATTTATATTTGCATAATGAATATTGTAAATGGAAAAGTGGGTTAGATTAATTTATGAATTTTAATAACTCTGTTTTGTATGAGAAGATGCCCTATCTCCTATTAACCTAACACCATTGTTTTATCATCTTTACTGGTCATTGAGTCAGGCTGTTGAACTAATCATATGCTGTCTTCCACTGAGGATAAATTTCTAAGATTGACACAGTCTTGAAGTCAATATTCAGGTTCTCATATTTTTAACATATCCTGATTGACACAGTCTTGAAGTCAATATTCCGGTTCTCATATTTTTAACATATCCTGATGTGGTGATAACTGATGGATATACAGTGAAATGTAGGTTTAACGTATTTTATGATTTTTGTTACGGTGCGGTATAATTCTGGTTTAATTTGTTATAACATTAAATTTCTCACATTGAGCATCGTGGAATTTAGTTGTTTTAAGGGTATTTTTTTTTAAAGGTGATAAATTAGTAAGTAAATAAATAGAGCAATGGAAGGTCTTTGAATGTTTAGCTAGTGAAAAATAATTTTACAGCATTTACATTCTATAATTAAACATAAATGTAATACTGCTAATAATAGTTGTTTTTGTGTGCTGTTTTCCATTAGTTTGTAATGATGATTTTACTGGTCATTTAATAGTTAGAGCATATTTAACTGCTTTGTCTGCAGGAATGTAAAATATAAAGTGCTTATGTTTTTCAAAATTTCCGTTGATTCCAGCACAGTAATACATATTGAATATCAAAGACATGTAGAAATCAGTAATACAAATATCTTTTTATAATACGTAGCCCAAAGATATTTTTTAAATATATTGCTGTTATGGAGTTTGAAAATGAGTTGACACTTCTTTCTACTCTCTTGGAATCACATTTTAGGTAAAACTTAGCAGATGCTTGGAAAATACCCATATTTCACATAAATAATATTATACTTTTGATATGATTGCCATGCTAAACCTCAAAATATAACTATTTACATCTCATTTACTATTTGTTTCCTTGTTTTTAGTATAGCTCTATTTAAAAATGTATTTATTTCAGTTTAACTGTAGAAGTTTTGAGAACGAAAGGCCCTTGTGTTGTTGAAGAAAATGACCCCATATTTGAGCGCGGTTCTACAACTACATACTCCAGCTTTAGGAAAAATTATTACTCTAAGCCATGGTCAAACAAAGGTAACTAATTTTCATTTAAAAATGTGTAAGTTCTTTATTTGAAATGAAGTGACTGTTTCGGAATTAAATCAGTTCTCCCCTAAGTAAATAAAATGCAGACTGCCATTTTATTCTAGCTAATTTTATTATTGACACCTCTATCTTATGCCCTCCATGGAATGGTATCTCTGACTTTATCTTACAAATCTTTAAAAAAATTTTATTTTTTATAGCAGCTGGGTCTCAGCCAGGTGCAGTGGCTTACACCTGTAATTCCTGCACTTTGGGAGGTTGAGGCAGGAGGATCACTTGAGGTCAGGAGTTTGAGACCAACTTGAGCAACAAAGCAAGACCTCATCTCTACAAAAAAATTGAAAAATTAGAAAGTAGAGATAGGGTCTTGATGATTGCGGAGGCTGGAGTGCAGTGAAACGATCATAGCTAACTACAGCCTGGAACTCCTGGGCTCACGTGATCTTCCTGCCTCAGCCTTCCAGAGCAGCTGGCACTACAGGCATGTGCCACCATACCCAGCTAATTTTTTGGAATTTTTTTTTTTTTTTTTTGAGATGGAGTTACCCTCTTTTTGCCCAGGCTGGAGTGCAATGGTGCGATCTCGACTCACTGCAACCTCTGCCTCCTGGGTTCAAGTGATTCTCCTGCCTCAGCTTCCCAAATAGCTGGGATTACAGGCACCTGCCACCAACCCCAGCTAATTTTTGTACTTTTAGTAGAGATGGGGTTTTACCATGCTGGTCAGGCTGGTCTCAAACTCCTGACCTCAGGTGATCTGCCCGCCTTGGCCTCCCACAGTGCTGGAATTACAGGCAGGAGCCACCGCACCTGACCTCTTTTTTGGATTTTTTGAAGAAATGAGGTCTCAATATGTTGCCCAGTCTGGTCTCCAATGCCTGGGCTCAAGCGATCCTCGTGCCTTTGCCTCCCAAAGTGTTGAGATTACAGATGTGAGCCATTGTGCCCTGCCCAGAATCTGTTCTTTCTTTTTTTTTTTTGTTAAGTTTCTTTTAGTCACTGTTCTGCTTAAGGAAATATTTTTTAAGAGTTAACGTTATAGTCATTTTGGCTGGAATGTTCCTCTCTGTCAAATCTCTGTACAACAAATACCATTTAAGTCAAAATTAACAATACAATATTTCCTTTTTTTTGTTTTTTGAGATGGAGTTTTGCTTTTGTCGCCCAGGCTGGAGTGCAGTGGCGCAATCTCGGCTCACTGCAACCTCTGCCTCCTGGGTTCAAGCGATTCTTCTGCCTCAGCCTCTTGAGCAGCTGGGATTACAGGTGCCTGCCACCATGCCCAGCTCATTTTTGTGTTTTTGGTAGAGATGGGATTTCACCATGTTGGCCAGGCTGGTCTTGAACTCCTGACCTCAGGTGATCCGCCTGCCTCAGCCTCCCAAAGTGCTGGGATTACAGGCGTAAGCCACTGTGCCTGGCCAACAATACAATATTTCTAATGTGAATAATGTTCTACCTCAGATAATACTGTATAATGAAGTTTCTATAGATAAATATTATGCTGTTAAAAATCTGTTGCATGTTGGCACTTACTATTTTTATTTTAAAAACAGTAGTTTTAAAAAGATCCTATACTTCCCATCTTTCACTTCCCTGTTCCTATTCTCCTGAGGTGTAACTTCTGTTAATGGTTTCTTTTTTTGAGACAGAGTCTCACTCTGTCACCCAGGCTGGAGTGCAGTGCTGCGATCTTGGCTCACTGCAACCTCCACCTCCCAGGTTCAAGTGATTCTCCTTCCTCAGCCTCCCGAGTAGCTAGGATTACAGGCATATGTCACCATGCCCAGCTAATTTCTGTGTTTTTAGTAGAGACGGGATTTCACCATGTTGGCCAGGATGGTCTGGAACTCCTGACCTCAACTGATCTGCCCGCCTTGGCCTCCCAAAGTGCTGGTATTTACAAGCGTGAGCCACCATGCCTGGCCTCTTTTGTATTTTTCTAGCTACTTTCTTTATATACTGCTTAGCACATCTTAGTTGCTTACGTACTGTAACCCTATCCTGACTATGACTCATAGTTTTCTTCAGAGTACTTCGAATAAAATCAGCTAGGCAGAATGAATGTCTTAAAAAAAAAATCCAGCTGCTTTTGTATGATTTCTTTTTCTTTCTTTCTTTTTTTTTTTTTTTGAGGTGGAGTCTTGCTCTTTTCGCCCAGGCTGGAGTGCAGTGGTGCCATCTCAGCTCACTGTAACCTCCACCTCCCAGGTTCAAGCTATTCTTCTGCCTCAACCTCCCCAGTAGCTGGGATTACAGGTGCATGCCACCATGCCCGGCTCATTTTTTTAAAATTTTTGGCAGAGACGGGGTTTCACCATGTTGGCCTGGCTGGTCTTGAACTCTTTTTTTTTTTTTTTTTTTTTTTTTTTTTTTTTTTGAGACGGGGTCTCACTCTGTCACCCAGGCTGGAGTGCAGTGGCGCGATCTTGGCTCACCGCGATCTCCGCCTCCCGGGTTCAAGCGATTCTCCTGCCTCAGCCTCCCACATAGCTGGGATTACAGTCATGTGCCACCATGCCTGGCTAATTTTGTATTTTTAGTAGAGATGGGGTTTCTCTATGTTGGTCAGGCTGGTCTCAAACTCCCGACCTCAGGTGACCCACCCGCCTCAGCCTCCCAAAGTGCTGCGATTACAGGCATGAGCCACTGCGACTAGCCCTGATCTCCAACTCTTGTCCTCAAATGATCTGCCCGCCTTGGCCTCCCAGAGTTCTGGGATTGCAGGCGTGAGCCACCATGCCCAGCCTATGATTTCTTATACTGAAAAGTTTTTATTTATAATAAGATGTTTTTAGGTATCCCATGGAGATCTTTCTAGTAAAATTAAGTACTGTCAAATTTTGTAAGATTTCTTTTCTCTAAAATATTGATAGGATTAATTTTCAGTCATTCTAAATCTTTTATTTTCACAGAAACAGATATGTTTTTTTTAGCCATCAGCATGGTAGGAACTGACTTTTCTATGATCGGACAACTTTTTCCTCACAGAGCAAGGATAGAAATTAAGGTAAAGTAAACCCATCACATTTGTTGATTGGAAAGAGACCAAACATTACAAATGTTAGTAGTATTATTTGTTTACCTTTGGTTTAAATCTCAGTTCATCTTTTTTTTTTTCCCATTGAGACAGAGTTTCACTTTGTTGCTCAGGAGTGCGATGGCACGATCTCAGCTCACTGCAACCTCTGCCTCCGGGTTCAAGCAATTCTCGTGCCTCAGCGTGTCACGTAGCTGGTATTACAGGCGCTTGCCACTATGCCTGGTTGATTTTTTTTGTGTTTTAGTAGAGACGGGGTTTCACCATGTTGCCCAGACTGCTCTCGAACTCCTGAGCTCAGGTAATCCCCCCATCTTGGCCTCCCAAAGTGCTAGGATTACAGGCGAGAACCTCTGCTCCCAGCCCATCTTTTTTTTTTTTTTTTTAAACTATTATGATGTTTTTGTTACATTTATCCCTCTTTATTGATTGAAAAGTAATATTTATGAATTCTTATTTGGGTACAATCTTCTCTATGTTAGTTTCATATTTTCTTATTTATATCTAATTCATTTCTAAAATGAATTTGAGGCAGTACCAATAAAAACGCACTGCAACTAAGATATAGAAGAGTTACATAATGAAAAGAGAAGATAAATGTACCAGAGTACCTTGGTTAAGGGTAGCTTTTTTTGTTTTGAGATGGAGTCTTGCTCTGTTGCCCAGGCTGGAGTGCAGTGGTGTGATCTTGGCTCACTGCAACCTCTGCCTCCTAAATTCAAGTGATTCTCCTACCTCAGCCTCCCTAGTAGCTGGGATTACAGGCGCACACTGCCATGCCCAGCTGATTTTTGTATTTTTCGTAGAGGGAGTTTCACCATGTTGGTCAGCCTGGTTTCGAACTCTTGACCTCTGGTGATTCACCTGCCTCGGCCTCCCACCAAGTGCTGGAATTATAGGCGTGAGCCATTATGCCTGGCCAAGGGTAGCTTTTTGAACACAAAATGTATTTCAGAATTTCCTAGGAAAGCTTAAAGAGAAGAAATCTTGAGTTTACACAGTTCTCATTTTCTGATCCACTGCTTTCCTAGGCCCCCTTAACTCTGGGACAACCAGTGGCACTAATAACAATAGTGATGTCAGTTACAGCTGTTATATGCCCCAGAGGATGAGCTGTCTCTGTTTTTTAGTTTTTTTGCTTGAGAAACTTATATAAGTTTTCTGGGTTTAAGCGCATTTGAGTGTCATCACACTATGTTGCCATAATGCATTCTCAATTGATAGTGAGATCTTTACCCAATCATGGGCTTTTTCCTTTGTTTCTCATCCATGTCATGTTCATTACATTAATAAAAGGAACCATTAGGATGGTATGTTTTTTCCTCTAGAACTAAATTAGGCATGGATTGTCTGGGGACATTACATAAGGGGCATTGTACAATGTAATGAAATAGTCTTGTATTTCTGCAAGAGATGAGGAACTGTTTATGTTCTTTACGTTCATTTTCTGATGTTGATCTTTGATAAAAGAACAAAATGTTAAAATTCTGTGAAGGCTAGAAATTGTCTACAATTGGAGCTCTCTGCTGATCTGAGTAATTAATTATAAATTTGTCACTGGGCTATTTGTCTCAAAAATCATGTAGATTCTTTTCCTGAAAGGTTACTACGGCTCTAGCAGGTCATTGGGTAAAGTGTAGAAAAGTAAGAGTAGGCCAGACATGGTGGCTCACACCCGTAATCCTAGCACTTTGGGAGGCTGAGGCAAGTGGATCACCTGAGGTCAGGAGTCCAAGACCAGCCAGGCCAACATGGTGAAATCCCATCTCTACTAAAAATACAAAAATTAGCCCAGCATGGTGGCGCATACCTGTGATCCCAGCTACTCAGGAGGCTGAGGAAGGAGAATCGCCTGAACCCTGGAGGTGGAGGTTGCCGTGAGCCGAGATTGCGCCACTGCACTCCAGTCTGCTCAGTGGGAGTAAGACTCCATCTCAAAAATGAGAATAGACTGTATTTGAATCTACTGAATTACATTACATTGATTTTCAAATATTGGACTAATGTTATATTCCTGTATAAGCTCCATTTGGTCGTAGTGTATTTTTCTGTGTTGCTCTATTTTGCTACATTTTCTTGAGAATATTTTTGCCACTTTGTTCTTTAGGGATACTGATTTGTAATTTTCCTTTACAAAGTCTGTCCTATTTTGATATGAGGCTTATACTGGTCACAGAAATTGAGCTGGAAAGTGCTCCCTCTTCTATTTTCTGAAGTAATTTGTTGAAGATTAGTATTATTTTGTCTTTAACATTTGATGGAATTTACCTGTGAAACTATTTGATTCTGTAGTTTTCTTTGGAGGAAGGGTTTATTTTATAAATTTACTCTTTCA